TCGTTACCCGCTCCTTATTAGGGCGAATGCGTTGAATTAGCCACTAGGTTTAATTCGAAAATTTGTAAATCGGCGAGCGCCGCGAGAATTGTCCCGACGCTGTATTTTGTCGGAGAAGAGATTTGCCATTTGTGAGTTGTTTTTCTTTTCAAGGTGATTTGATCAGCAATCTCGGTTTCTTATTGCGTTACCTCAGGCGAAAGTAATTCTGACACGATGGTGAAATGGAAGCGCAACGGCGGAATACTTTAATCAACAAACAGCCAGCTAATTATTGCATTGCTAGGCATTGGAAATATTAGATGCAAGTATATTTCAAGGTGTTATTAACAATCATTAATGTTAACGGAAGATCCTCACTGAGGGGTTGAGGTAGTAATTTGTTTAGAAAGGGAGGAGCTAGAAAATGTCACAAGGAAAAGTTTCACTTTAATTGCTAAACTTCTAGATGTACCATGCTCCGGATTCTTTTTTTTTATTCCTCTCTTGTTTTGGGCCCTCAACAGGCATGCGCCCAATTACAGAGTGACCCGCATAATGCTATTTAGAGGTGCCTCTGCAGAAGGTCTTAAGATATTCTATACTACTCCAGTATTTACCTTACGAATTAGGAAAACTGCAGGAAAACCTAATTCGGAGTACGGAGTTCTGAACATACAAAGAAAACTAAACCTTGTAAATAAAATTATATTAGATAAAAATTAAGTAATTAACAAAATAACTAAATATTTGATTAAGTGCGACTCAATTAAGTTTTGTAGGATGCACGTCTATCATTAAGGATCGTAAACGTTTCCAAGCATGAATATTTAAGAGTCAAGAGACTCCCTCCCCTCTTTAAAACCTGGGCCTTTAAGTGAGTCTTTTGAGAGCTTTTAAACCATTAAAAACCTTTCAGATCCTTCGGAGCCCTCAAAACAGTCACGATTTTTCAAGAGCCGGCTGAGCGTTAAAGGGGTGCTTTGACATTTGAGGTTCTTTAACAGCTTTCTAAAGAGGTACTTAGACGAGTACTTAAAATGATCCAACGAATTGATGGTATTTGCGTGGTCGGCTTAATCTTATCAAAGTGAAAGTATTTAGGAGCAAGTAAGTAAGTAATTAATTCCCAATGGCTGCAATGCAACGAAACGCATCTATTCTGACCGGAATTTCACGCGTGGATCCACCCTGGATTAAAAGTTTTTAAAACTCAAAATTCGGGAAAATTAATTCGTTTACCCATCGGTTCAGCGACACAGCAGAGCATTTACAGCTCCTCCGAGTCCGACACCAATTACGTGGACAGGGTTGGCCCTACCCTTAGTACTCGTGTCAATAAAGTTTCCGTTATTACCTTTTGACGAGTTACGATCGGGTTCGATTTCTCGAAACTCAACTCCTGTTTGCGACAAACGGCAATAGACCTTTCACCAGAATATCTTGGAATCAGAAGTGTAACCGCTAAGTAAATTTAAATTTAACCGCACTTAAATCTTTGGCTTTCAGCCTCGCTTTCAGCCCTCCGCATTTTTGCAAAACTACATTTTGTAAGTACCGTAATTTTGAGCTTTTCCGTAAATTTATTATTCAGACAGTTTAAATTTTGCTTTTACCGCAGAGTAAGGCACCGTATCTATAGCGTTTGCTTATATTTCCTGCACAGTAATTGCTAAGTTAACAGCAAGGTAAGCTTTTTGCTACTTTCCGTTTCATCAATTATTAGGGGGAGTTTGATATGCTAGTGTTGTTCTCAGTTCTGCATGTGCCGTAGTTGTGGTAACTGCTCCTTGAGTTGCGGTCACAATTTTGATCTTTGAATATATTAAATATAAATAAGTCATTAATAGTTATTTATGTATCAAGGACATTAAAACGATATTTATGCCGAGGGCGACAGAGTAAGTCGCCCGAGAGTTAAATATCGAGTAATGCCTGAGGTGCATACAAAATTTTATTTTTCATTGTTCCAAATAATGCATTTCCAATATACAAATGTAATGAGTATTGTTTGCCAACTTTATATCAAGTAGCATCTTTTTTTATTGCATAATATAACTCTCGTCAATGTATTTGACATGAGGGCATAATGAAATGACAATCCATTATGCCCTCTCATTATGCCCTCAGGCGGCATAGACTGCATTATATATCTCATATGACAGATATAATTGGCGTATAACAGGCAAATGAAAAATAAAATTACTTAATATGTAATTCTATGTTTTATATTATGCCTCGTTTCCTGCATTGGCAAGAGCGATACTGAATCCGATTTTTAGTGTTCCCGTTTAGGGAAATTGCTGTTAGCTTTTAAGTTTTAGCATTCACCCGTTAGAATTCCTGGGAACGCCGTTCTCCATTGGACCATCGCCGACCGCATCATGGCCGGAATCAAAAGAAACCGAAAACTTCTGGTAGCGCCAGAAATACTCCCGTTCGCCGTGTCCTGTCGCCGTTCCGTCGACTATCGCCGCCGTGACCGTCTACAAATTTTGACTTGTCAATTACTGCTGGATGTTCCATTTTCTTACCTTTATGTTTTATGTATTAGAGAATCGAAGCCAACAAAAGGTAAGTTGTGGCTGAAGAGTAATTCTATAATAGGAGTAGGTTCGGCAGAAGTTTCGCCTAAAGATGATGTTTTGAAATTTTCAATTTTATTATACCTCGCCAATTTTATCAGATAAGTTTTAGAGCATGCTAACAAAGAAACGCGCCCAAATTTTCACATAAATTCACTTGGATAAACACAATTACAAAAAAAAGTTAGTCAGGATATACACATTGTACATACAAAAGTTGATTTTATCCACTTTCCATTTCTTTTACGTAAGATAAAATGTACTGCAGAAAGTTATTGCATAAGTTGCGTACCAACTCACACTTCCAATTTGTCGGATTAATAGTGGAAAGAGAAAGCAAAGTGGTCTTTTGCTTAATTTGAATAAGTTTGTAATTAGAAATTAAAAGGTAAAGATAACTTCCCAAAGAGATCACTCAGAAGTAGCTTTCTACACGTATCCCACCAGAAAAACTTTCTTATACCCTTTCGGTTTTATAATATTTCAAGTGGTTGAATGCCAACCGAAGCATCAGTAATCAAATTCGCACCCAGTGTGGAAAGGTAACCAAGCGTATTTTATTGATACTGCGACTGGTAATTTACAGAATACTTGAAATATACACGAAACCCGATTCCAATAAAATATTCCTTCTGTAACACGATCTTTGATAAATTCAATTAAAATTACTTAATCGAAAAAAGCTTTTGTTCTTACAATATTTGAGGTTGCTTTACGGTTTCAGGGTTTCACAGTAAAAGACGAACTGTATGTTCATTGGCCAATGTATGTGGTATAACTAAACGATACTGATATTTTTCCTTTCAACAGATTTGTTTTAGTTTTAGACGTTTAGACTTATTTCAAAAAGGAATACTATCCTTATAATCATATCACACGAAGAATACCTCATTAATGTCACCGGTAAGTTCAGTGAAGACACGGGCACCTTTACCGCGTATTATTTCATCTTAGAAGATTTTAAGTTCTCCACAAAATTATAACAGTAGGTAACTATTATTTCAGTATCGGAATGTTTCACATTCTCTTTTCAACGGTAAAATGTATGGAAACTATCTCTTATATGTAGAAGTTTTTATTATTATTATATTGCCGAGAAATGCCCGAACAGTGAAATTGCACCCGAGGTGCATCATGCATGCCTTTTACATATTTATATAGATATCTCTAAGACGTTTCGAATTTAGCTTATGCACTTTTTAATTCCAACACTATGGTATCAGGGTAAAATATGTACACTTTCAGACTTATTTTAAATACTTACACTCCGATTGATGGCTATAATTTCTATTATTGAATTTATTGTGATAAAAATTGCAGTTGCACTGCTTAGATATGAAGTCTAAAACGTCCAGAAAACATTTGCTAGTATGCAAGGAAGACGTAATTAAATTCCTTGAAGTTATACGTACAGCGATAATATGAGTAATAAAAGTGAACTAAGTAGGCAAGAAATGTAAAACATATAAATCTGGGATGTCGTACCTGAAATTGCATTTCTTGAGTGCAATAGAAAGAAAATTTGAAATATTTTACTTTGAGAATATACAAGCAGATATTTCCAGTAAAGTTCAACGATATCTTTGAGATAAAATCCGCATTATTTCTCTTTTCTTATGTGGCATTCCAATACGTAAACCCAGATTAATCTAATTGCAAGTTGCAACTATCCTTTGAAGAATCAGCAAGCATGTTTGCTTCCAATTCACTTTACACTGGCAATTAATGCAATAATTTTATACCGTTCCGTGTATGAATTTAGAACGTTAGCGCAAAAAAGCCGGAGTGCATACTGCATTGTTTACGTAGAGAATTTATTCACACTCTGAAAGCAAACTTATGCTATTCCATTATGAGGAAGGATTGATAATGTAAACATTTTGTGAAGAATCGCTGGTTGCAAATATACTTCTTGTAAAAAACACAGCGCAGAAAAACATATAACAACTATTTATTTAACATACATTGAAAATTTTGTGCATTCGCTTAGAAAGTCAAGAACGTTATGCTATTTTTCCCTTGTAACTAATTACACACCCTTACAACATTCTTGAAAACAGAGGGAAATAACGCCTTATTATTGGCTGGCCAGTTCTACAAATTGTAACCGACACTTAAATTAGTCACAAGGTTAAATTCTTATGGGCTATTAGTGGACAAAGAAAGTTAATCACTAAGACTAATCCTAACTGACATTTGAATATTTACAGATAATAATGAAAAGAAATTCCATATACAAGGAGATTCCAGTAATTATAAAATGACCTAGAGTTTACATAAATACCTTAAATAACTTAAATTTGAACATAAGCCGGCCACCTTGAAATGACATGGATTTCAACATTACAACAATATTGGAGGCCAGATAAAGAAAAAATACTGAATAACAAGGTATAAAAGACATAAAAATAGTACTAAAAGTATTAACTTTGTTGATTATATGGGAAATGCACACAGCCTGTTCACTGATCTCTTAGCACACGCACCACTTGCAAGTTTAACTGTACACGATCGCACAACGCCATCTCGTCCAGGATGCAGAGTTTCGACACGACCCATCAGCCAGTTCAACGGGGGAAGATTGTCCTCTCGAATTAACACTAAGGAGCCTGGTTGTAACGCGTTGGGGTAATTTTGAAACCACTTGGTTCGTCTTTGAAGATCAGGAACAACTTCTCTGCTCCAGCGCTTCCAGAAATGCTGCATAATCTGCTGCGCTCGTTGGTAGATTGATAGTCTGTTCTCCTTAATTGCTGCAAGGTTCGGTTCCGGCAAAGCACACATGGGTCGCCCAATTAGGAAATGTGCAGGCGTTAAAGGATTTAAATCCGAAGGATCAGAGGATAAAGAGGACAGCGGTCTTGAATTTAAGACAGCTTCTATCTGAATGAGTACGGTAGAGAAATCCTCATAAGTTAAGTGAGTGTTGCCCAATACCTTTTTGAGATGCATTTTTGTGGATTTCACACCACTCTCCCACATGCCGCCTTGGTGCGGGGCTCGCGGTATGATAAAATGCCATTTAATGTTTTCGTGGGCGAGATAATTGCTAATTTTTTGCTGCACTTCTGAACGATTTAATTCACTGTAAAGCTCTCGTAATTGGTTTTTTGCACCTATGAAATTTTTTGCATTGTCACTGGAGATAGTCAGTGGCTTGCCTCTACGAGAGATGAAACGCTTAAGAGCGGTGATAAAACAATCAGCCGTAAGATCCGTAACAAGTTCCAAGTGAATTGCATGGGTTACTAAACATATGAATATACAGATATAAGATTTCATTAGCCTTGAACCCCGACCCTTTTTGTTCTTTATGAGAATTGGTCCAGCATAATCTACACCAGTATTGTAAAAGGCGGGTGTGTTGGGCTGTATACGTTTCAATGGCAAATCTCCCATTAAGGGGTTACTATACACCGGTTTCGCCCGAAAACATTTAACGCACCTTTTGATAACTCTTTTTACTGTAGATTTTCCAGAAATTGGCCAATAACGTTCACGCAAACAGGATAATAATTGCTGGGGTCCGCAATGCAGCAGCTTTTCATGATAATACATAATAATCAGGTCGGTGAGTACGTGGGACTTGGGTAATAGTATTGGATACTTCTTATCATATGCAAACTCGGCATTACTAAGACGTCCCCCTACTCTCAGGATTAGGGTTTCGTCAAGGAACGGATTTAAATTTAGAAGGGATGAAGTTGAGTTTAATGGCCTTTTGGAACTCAACTGTTTGATTTCTTCTGAAAATGAGAATTTTTGACAGAGCTTAGTTAAAGTAATTTCTGCACTTTGTAACTCCTTGGTCGTTAACGGACCGATATTACCGCTACGGATCTGCCTACAATTTGATAAAAATCTTAGCATGTACGCAAGAACCCTTTGTAACTTATTGAAGCTTGAAAATCGTCTAAATAATTCGTAGGATTGTTCAGCAGAGTCGCTTACTTGAACTGCTAGTGAAGACACTGGCTTTAATTCCGTTTTCTCTATAGAGACTGCAAAGTTACGATCTCTCCAAAATTGGTTTTTATCTGATAAAAAGTTAGGGCCGTACCACCACAAGGAGTTTGCTATAATTTCTGACGAATTCATGCCTCTAGATATGTGATCCGCGGGATTTTTTTCCGATGCTACATGATACCAGTGTATAGGTGGATACATTTCTTGAATAGTGGCAATTCGGTTGGCCACAAAGGTTTTATATCTGTTTGGAGGCGAGTTTAACCAATTGAGAACGATACTAGAATCTGACCAAAGAAAAATTGAATGGTCATCAACCTTCAATGCCGTTTTGACTTTATGCATCAGTTGTGCTAGTAGTACGGCAGCGCAGAGTTCTAATCTGGGAATAGTTGTGGTGTGCAATGGTGCAACACGTGATTTGGAACACAGTAATAATGTGGAAACTTGGTTCTCTGAATTTTCGCACCTAACATACACGCATGCTCCATAAGCAACACTGCTACTGTCTGAGAAGCCATGCAATTGTAAGGAATAATCTGAAAGTGGAATTACACACCTGGGCACTTGTAGCGAGGAGAGAAGCGAAAGTTGCTGCCTGTAATTGTTCCACTGTTCGTGGATGGAGGATGGAACTGACTCATCCCAGGAAACCTTCAGCTCCCACAGTTTTTGAATCATAATTTTTCCAACTATTAAGATAGGAGACAATAATCCCAATGGATCAAACAGCTGAGACACCATTGATAAAATGGATCGTTTTGATACTGAAGGGCTAAACTGCACACGTACATTGTAGTAAATTGTATCTGTAATGGCATTCCAAGCTAAGCCAAGGGCCTTTGCGTTCGTACGCTCACCTAATGGAACAGTGAATAGAGAAATATTTGAATCTGTGGTATTTTGCATGACCGATGGATGATTAGAGAGAAATTTTCGTATAGGAATATTAGCGGATCGTAGTATTTCGATTATTTCAGTTTTTATTTGTAAAACTTCCTCTACGGTGTTGGCTGTAAAAAGTAGGTCATCCATATAAAAGCAAGATTTAATGACTTCTGCTGCTTTAGGGAAACGTTCACTATTTTGATCGGCTAAATACTGTAAACACTTCGTTGCTAAGTAACTAGCGGAAGCTGTGCCGTATGTAATTGTGTTTAATTGATATGTATCAAGTGGATGACTAGGATCGTCTCTCCACACTATGCACTGCAGTTTCCTCAAAGAGGGGTGTATTTGAATCATACGGTACATTTTCTCACAATCGCCGGTTAAGGCAACCTTATGCTGACGAAATCGTAGCAATATGGAAAATAGGTCTTCCTGCAGCACGGGACCCACTATTTGGGTATCGTTTATGGAGAGTTTTGAAGTGGATTTGGCACTCCCATCAAAAACAACCCTAATTTTTGTGGTTAGGGAGTCTGCCTTATGAACAGCATGGTGAGGTAGATAGAAATAAGGAATACTTGAGAGATTTACTTCCCCATCTAAAGTGGAAACTGTGGTCAATATACAAGAGCCTAAATTTGTTGAATCGGTTTTTGTGGCGTGACCTAATCTAATGTACTCGTGAATGAACTCAGAGTATGCTCTGTAAAATTCGGGGTTCTTCGTAAATCTTTTCTCCAAATTTTGAAATCGTTCCACAGCTACCTGCTTTGAGAGACCTAAAAGACGTAAATTGGAATTGAAGGGTATTGAAACGGTAAGAGTTCCGTTTGTATTTCGAGAAACTGTGCTTGCAAAATGGTTCTCACAGAATTGCTCCTCATTTGATAATAGAGATAACTTGTTCTTAGGATGCACATCCTCTATTTCCCAAAATAAAGAAAGAGATTTTTGCAAAGAATTATGATTGTCACGTTGCTCTATAGCAAGGTTGTTACAAACATCTAATGAAATTTGCGGTTGTGTTACGGAGGGTGCCGAACAGACCCTACCTGAAACTACCCAGCCAAATAATGTTTTTTGAAGAGTTGGTTTGTTTTTCCCTAAGGAAATCTGTCCAATGCAAAGGAGATTGTAGAAGTTTGTAGCACCTATAAGGATATCAATTGGGCTTGATTTATAAAAATCAACATCTGCAAAGAGTGATGTTACTAGGAATAGAGATATTTTCTCTATGCACGTTAGTTGACGGTAAGTTTTGAGTTATATGAGGAGTCACCAAACACGATAGATCAGTTTGAAAATCGTTAACGACGGATGAAAGCTTAATATCAATTATTCCGCTAGCTGAAGACTTATTGCCATTGATTCCTATAATGGAAGTGTTGGAAGGATTTGGTTTGAAACCTAATTTGGTGCAGAGATTTTTAGTAATGAAACTAACTTGGGAACCTGAATCTAAAATACATCTTGCCCTAACCCATTTGTTTTGTTTGCTCAATACCTGAATTATTGCTGTCGAAAGTAACACCTGGTCTGAGTCTGTACAAACTAATGATGTCAGTTCTGGCGTAACTGAGGTACTAGGCACTGAATTATTTAAAACGAGTTCGCTAGGAATTTCAGATGGCGATGTCGCAGAATTAGATAAGCATAAAATGCTATTGTGAGGCCTTTGACAGTGCTTGCATTTATATCTGGAATTGCATTTATACTTGCTACTGTGTTTTAAACAGTTTTTACAGACTTGTATTTTGCTTGCGGTTTCTACCCTTTTTTGAACGGGAAATGATAAGAATGTTGGACAAACATATAATAAATGATTTCCTTTGCACAACAGGCAAGTGTGAGTAGTAGCTACGTGAAAAGATTGTTTGCTAAGTTCGGGTTTTGCTAAAATTTTAGTTTGTTTAACAATAGGATTTTTGAAGCTGTTTGAAGCAACATCCTCTAGTATTTCACATCTAGAGGAAAGAAATGATAATGATTCTTGTACAGACGGGATCTGCTTTACCTTAAACTTACTGTAAGCAGTTGCAGTATTTACGTCAACTTTGGATTTGATAATGTATGCTAAAACCGCAGCCTTAAATTTTTCATCTGATATATTACAATTGTCTAGGGCTCTCAAATGTCGAGTTACATTATCCTGCAATTTACGAAGTTCAGAGGCCGATTCTCTAGAGATTTTATTACTTTCGAGGATTGATTCCAGATGGGAAAATATTATCAACTTTTCATTGTTAAATCTATCATTCAGCATTTCTAAAGCAATTTTATAATTACTGCCTGTAGGCGACAAATCGTTAGTGAGCTCTTTTGCAACACCTTTTAATGCATTCTGGAGATAATAAAATTTTTCCACATCAGATAATTTTGAATTTTTATCTATTAGTGCGATAAATGTCTCGTAAAAACTGGACCACTCTACATAATTTCCAGAAAAGTTGGGAATGTTTAAAATTGGCAACTTTACATTGTTTCCTTCTGGAGAACGTGCGGAAGGATTTAAGGAAGAATCAGATACACTTGTTTTTAAGTTACTTTTACGTTTAGAGAGAATAGCCGCTTGGGCAATCAAGTCGCAATACACTTCCTCAAATTCTTCGCAAGATAAGATATCATCCCTGGTTAAATGATCAGAGTCTACTTGCAAATATGTATCTGTGTATTCACTAACTGATGATTTTATTTGTTCTAATCTAGCCTGTAAAGTTTCAAAGGCCAATTCACTGAAATTTGTTAAATCGATGGCATTTATGAATTCTTTAAAACGATTAAGTTTGGTTACCAATAACTGGAGCCTTGCAATGAATTGTTTAGTATCTTTTGATTTCGGCATAATGAAGGCTTATTTTATGAAACAAACTGTAAATAGTGCAAGCGAAAAACTGTAATTATACTTGAAAGACTCCTTTTCCTGTGAAATTGGAGGTTGTACGTAATAGTAAATTTATTGGAACTGTAAATTTATGTAGTGACTGTAAATGTTATGAACTTTAAAAATATGAAGCACTTACAGGTTTTTCATGAAAGAAAGTGGTGAAAATGCACACAGAGGCATATTAGGCACAATACGTCAACATCGGTTTGAAAGGCAAATCAACACACTCAAATAGAACTGTCTTAGAGAATCGGAAAACTGGATTGTTTTACCTGGATAACATGGAAATCGACGACGGGCTATCTGCATGTGGATGCGGAAATTCTAGGAACCTTAGTTGTACAGCTTTGGAAGTTTCTCGTAGCCGAAGCTGGAACGCACTTGTGGAACGAAATAACTATATCCGGCTCGAAGGACCATTTTTATGTAAACATTTTGTGAAGAATCGCTGGTTGCAAATATACTTCTTGTAAAAAACACAGCGCAGAAAAACATATAACAACTATTTATTTAACATACATTGAAAATTTTGTGCATTCGCTTAGAAAGTCAAGAACGTTATGCTATTTTTCCCTTGTAACTAATTACACACCCTTACAACATTCTTGAAAACAGAGGGAAATAACGCCTTATTATTGGCTGGCCAGTTCTACAAATTGTAACCGACACTTAAATTAGTCACAAGGTTAAATTCTTATGGGCTATTAGTGGACAAAGAAAGTTAATCACTAAGACTAATCCTAACTGACATTTGAATATTTACAGATAATAATGAAAAGAAATTCCATATACAAGGAGATTCCAGTAATTATAAAATGACCTAGAGTTTACGTAAATACCTTAAATAACTTAAATTTGAACAGATAAATAGCAACATATAATCCTTTCTCTTTCAGAACTTCGTATGCAACGCATTCAGCATGATTCCTATACTGCTTTTTTTCTATTTAAACAGATTAACTAACATATGCAAGGTCTGAAGGTCCTAATCCTAATGATTGATAGAAACACTGATTTTACCGAAAACAGTTGTACAAAATTGTCATTGCAACATCCAAATAGAAAAAGATATTTTAATTTACCTGAAGCCTGTGTTTTGGATAAAATTAAATACATTTTACAAGAAAAATCAAGATAATAATCTGCTTGAGTGGTTAATTCAATCAACCGTAATATTTTATTTCAAAATTTATTGGTAGAAGAGTGGAAAATCGTATATGGGCAACGTTGTTTGCTTAATTAAAAATTATTCGCATTTGTAGAATAAATGCATAGCGAATGGGGAACCTTCCTGATTGAATACTTTTTTAAAAGCATATCCCATAGAAATCATAAATTCGAAACTGGGGCAATGGAGTCATAAACTACGTTATAAAGAGTATGGATGACTATAAATTCTGATTATATTGATATTTATTTACCCATTCTTGTACATGCAGCTCAATTTTTTGCCGCCGATTTTTTCTTATCAGTAACAAATTGTTGAATAACGTCGGGAAGCAATATAAATCGTGTTAAGGAATTGGAAGCGGTTTAATGAACTTGGAAAGTAACGCTGCAAGTTTAACGTCCTGTAAGGATTTATGGGAATTACGATACTTAGTTTGAAACAATGGAGAGTTCTATTATTTTGCATATGGCACCGTTGAAGACAATTTGATGAAAACTCTAAGCAATAATTTCGGAACAAAGCCGGAAAACGGAAGCGGAGTACGAGTAATTTAACGCCAATTTACGTATTTCGAAATAGAGGGCAGTTTGCGCGAAATAAACTCTACACCTCAAAATTGCATAATCATAATTACTATTCGAGCGCGCGGTATGTCACATTGAGTAATACCGTTACGTTTTTAATAAAATTGTCAATGCAATAACGTTGGCTAATTTGCAAATTAGGAAAGGAAGGGTTTCTGTGTTACACCCCGGACGAGTTTTAACTGTTCCCAGAAAATCCTTTAGCTTTAAAACGTAACCTACGCAAAAGTTAGTTTATTTGTACGCCGGTACAGTCGTAAACCTTTTTGGGGGCGATAAGGTTTTGTCATTAGGAAAATGAAAGTGTATACGGGAACTGTATACTCTGGAAATTAGGTTACTAATAGAAATTGTAGTAATATAATGTCAGATAACTGACAAAACCTCTTAGCCCTTGTCTCAAGCAATCCCGAAAGTGGCGGTGTCCTAATTTTGTGCAAAATTTGTTACAACTCAATCTCAAACATGTTTTCCATTAATTTTTGTTCAGCTTTGTACCAGCAACGAATAAGTACTCGTAATTTGCTAGAGCATCGTTCATACACTGTTGTACCTAAGCGAACCGTAAAAGATTATGTCAATAAATTATAAAACCTTTTAACAAATTTTCTTAATAATTTATTGCGTCCACAGAACATTACGCTAGCAAAATGGAAGAGATAGGTACACCACATTCAGTATATCTATAAAAGTTTTATAAATATTACATTTTTGTGGAGTTACTGTATCGGAGTTTACAATGGACAAGAAATTTACGGCCCATATAACACGTTTGGTAACGATGCATGTAATGGTCTATAAAAAGTCTTTGAACAACGGATTGATACAGAAATGAAGTGGTAAAATACACTGCCGTAGATGTTATTGGAGGAGGTTGAAGTTGGATACACTTTTGATTGATGAGTTTCGTGTAAATATGAAAAACAATACAGTAGAATTTTAAACGAGTTTAACTATTTCTCATTATTCAACATTTTCAGCTACAGTAACAAAGACCTCATCGTGCTCATTTTTAGATTGCTGTCTTGTAAGCAATACCTATTTTTTATGTCACTGTAATAATGCGGCATTCACACGGTGTATTTACCTTTTACGATTGTAGATAGGTAATCAAGTATGGAAAGTTCTTCTAATCATTTTGATATATTATGTACATTTCAATATATGGTCCCTTTGATCATCAGTGAATACAAAAGACGGTCTTTTCTGAAATCGAGAAGAAGAAGGTGTCAGTTACGCATTGCAACGGGTTGTTGCTTTTGTCCAGCATAGGAAAATTACCCATTACCGCTTCATGGCGAACATGAACGAAAGTATATCTAGCGATAGCAAGCGATATCAAGAAACGTATTGTGGAAAGCAAGCGAGGTTGCCACGATGTCTTCGAACCTAAAAGTTTCGTTCCCTTTTATTTAAATCCGAGCATGTGACCGAAATGTGGGTTTCCTATTCGTTTACAATGGGTGGAGATTGTTTCGTCCAGAAAGGAAGACATGTTAAGCTGGTTTCTGAGGACGATCACGTACACTGATTGTGCGTGAAATTTATCATCCAACTGGTAGTGAAGAATTATTAGTTTAACTTCGGATAAAATTATATCAAGTAGTGAGAACCCTTAAACATTTGGTCAAAATCAAAATGAGAGGTTAGTCTAGTTCGTAGTAAGGCCGTTTATTTTCTAGCGAAAAAAGATCTACAGGAATAAATCAATTCGTTTGGACCTTAGGAGGATATTTCAATTAATTAACATTAAAACTCATCGTGATCAAAAGCAATTAATCAGTCGATTTGCCCTCAATAAAGGCTACTTAATAAATAGGCAAAAAGTTTGGCATTTTATTTCTGTGCATAAGTAATCATGACCTCGAGTAATTATTTCTAGTATTTTCCAGGGAGAGACGTTATATCAATTTTAACCTGAAAGGAATCTCAGTTATTTTAAATTTTTGGTTTAAATGGAGCATAGTGACCGGTTATTTTTAGGAATTTCCATAATAATTTTGTTTGAAGTAATTTTGATATCCCTGATGAAATCGACCTCTGAGAAGTATTTAAATGAAACAGATTTTGTGTTGTATTTATTGTTAAGATCCAAATAAAAACAAAGGATTTGGGTTATTTTTTTTTCATTGATTAGGAATTTTGCATTTAATTTCAGTTATACCCTTCGTTTAGTTCAATTAAAATTTTGTTCAGTGTTCAGAGGTGTGTGTGTATTTTTTGACAGGACCAGTAATTTATCAGGTGGCAGAGATTACAAACAATTCTAAAAAGAGGACTGAATATGAAAATACAAATTCAGGTAAAATAAACTAATCTTATGGGCGAAAGTCGAAAGAACAGAGGGGCAATAAATAATTAAAAAATATTCACGACTCGTAGCGGAATGCGTTTAAATGTTGCAAGTACTTTAAGTAACAATTATACATGCGTTTCTTATAGTTTTTTTAAAATTATACCTGCAATATAATTTAAAAATAAAGTACATAAAATTAAACCATGTTGACTTTATAATCGAATACATTTTTAATTTAGTGAGGTGATTATCGTAATTCTATGACTGCTATGGAAATATCACTTGAAATTGCATTATCCAAAATCTTCGTCTTTGTAAATAAAATGACTTCGGTTGAAGAAGATCATACACCATTCATTCAGCGGCTTGTTGCAGAAGTGGTACCTACAAAATCCAAATGCACAGCCTATTATAAAGAATATGAAATGCTGTTGGCGTGGATTAATTGGAGGTATCTTTCAAACAAAGTCTTAAATGCATCGCTAATTCTGGCATATACGAAGGAAATGTTAAAGATATTTAAATCCTAAATTCTACAGTATAATAATTGTATTACAAATCATTCTAAATTAAATTAAAACTGAAAGTATACAGAATCACTGTATTTCTGTTCCTTTCGTAACATTTGGCGCATCTAAATACTACAAAAGAGCGAAGAAGCAAAACTAAATTAGAATTTCTCAACTACTCAAAATATATGGTGATGAGGGCGCAGTTATCTGATATAGCTAATTGCGTAGCTAAGTCTTGAGTTTAAGCTCGGATGATTCGCATTCATATTTCGTCCCATTTCCCAATAGAACAACCAGCAAATAGAGATGTATCGGTACTTCTTTCTTTTCTCCTCTGATAAATATTCACCGTACGTATTGCAACGAAATTTGGTTTGACCAAAATTTATTCATTC